TTTCAGTATAATCTCGTACTTAGCTCGTACTGCTCTTGAGATGATGGTGGACTTCATCGAAACCGATGGTCATACTACACACACACCACTTGTCTTACATCACCCTCTCCAGACACGAAAGAGGCGCCCTTCATTTTAAGTAGAAAGCGTGTTCTCTGCCCTGTGGCCACTGTGACAGTCTAGCGCTGGTGGGATGCGAGCAACCCACATTGTTTGCGTGGAAACCTGATCGTGTGTGTGACAGGCTGCTTACCCCTGTCAACCTTCCGCTCCCGCCCGACCTCACATTGACATTCGACAGCTGTTAGGGAGGTGAAAGAGAGTTAGATGGACTCTATAGAGACTGCTTTCCCCCGCGGTACTCGACGCACGTTCCTCACTTGGGAGAAATCTGACGCGTTTGAATCTGCCGGAGTGCACTCAAAACCGTGACTCGGCAGGCTACCAACTGGTCCACTTTTGGAGACTGAAGAGCGTCCTAAACAGCTACCATTATATGGCGCGTTTCCACTTCAGATTTTGGAGGGGAATAGGCAGGAGCCTTTGAGGATCTACTTACAACGTAAACATCCAGTTTACTAACAAACCATGCGGTTTGCAAGAATTCAAACGAGACTATGACACGTGACAATTGAGAGCGACCTTTCCAGGGGTGAAGTAGAATTCCTTCATGACTCCGAATCATTTTCGAAAAAATACAGGTCTGCAAAGGTTTCTTTGAAAGCATTCTGGCGATGATAAAATCACAAAATCCGTGGGGGGGAGGGCTTTCAGGGCTGGACCACACTGTCAGCAAAGGAGAACTTAGCACATCTAGCCTTGCCTGCTGAACGTGTTTTGTATGCGCGCGTGGATCGACAATAAAAAATGTTGCTGTTAATTGGACCAACCTGTTTCTGTAGTCTGAAGGTATGCGCCATTTGTGAGGTTTTCTTGAGGATCGTGTGACTGTCAGCAAAAAGGCAAAAACTTGTCGTGGAGATTGACGTCAGGAAAAAATATCCGCTGAAGATCACACTGATGGACTCCGTTTCATACGAGTGCTTATGACCTCAGGTAACAAATCGCAGCTGTGCTAGACCGTTTGCTCTGTATGCCAGTATATGTTTGTGTTTCTGGGGTCAGGTGGTGGTGAGGGCGACACACACTCCACCTGACGTGGGTCGGATCGGTCGCATAAAGACATAGTGAATGTGTGTCTCACTACCCTGGTTAATAAACCCAATCCAAAACTGCAAAAGCGACGAGCCTGTGACTCAATGGCTAGAGTACTGAATTTACTAACAAAAGAACCCGTGTTCGAATCCCAGGTGCTCCCACGTCTGGACTTAGGAGTAAAGGAGATGACTATTTGAGCACCGGGAGTGTTTATTAACCTGAGCTTTCGAACTCCGTGGGAGTTCATCGTCAGAGATAGCAGCAGTAGCAAAAAGTGATAATTATAGGGATCGAAAGCAAATCAATTATCAGCGACTTAAGTTTGGAGGTTAGTGTGCAGGGCTGTGTATGCTGGCGCTAAATCGATATATCGATTGATTGAGGTTCCGTTCAGGCTTCAATCAATTTTTGGCTAGATAATCTATGAGAATAATTCATTTTATTTGGAAAATGCCCTTTTAACCGTCGACATCCTGCCTTTACTATAATATAGTGGGACTGCCATTAAAAGCGAAAGTGTAGGTCCTAGGAAGTAGTTGAGAAGAAGAAGATACGATTGCCGAGACAAGAACTTACCTCACCCGACACTTCGGACTCCGCCGTGGATACATCCTCAGAGACAGTAGACCCGTTTCTGCTACTGTCCCTGATGATGGATCCGCGACCATATCCGAGACTTCAGACATATTAAGGCTACGCTGCACGATCATTCATGTTGCAATCCCTCCTAAGTTAGCTTTTTGAAAGGAACAATTTTCGGAATTTATGACACAACACATCTACTCTGCGCTTCTTGACAATATGGATTAGTATGCTGACCTTTTTGTTGTCCTTTAGTCCTGTCTACATTGACGAATCTGCTAACCTGAACATCGCGGCAAAACGCATACTATCGGGCAAGTTGCTGAATGCTGGCCAAACATGCATTGCTCCCGACTACATACTGTGTCATCGCCGTGTCTTGGTG